CGCAGATTGCGCCCTGTCCACGTCATATTGCTACTGTCGCGCCCGCCCGGATCTGGATCCGCTCCGGTCTCGTGTATGTCAGCACTGGGCCCTACCAGTAGTGCTGACCGAGCGCGGCCGCGCCCTCGTGGCGCCACTGAGGCATGCTGGCCGCGAGGATGCTCCGCCCCTCGCTGACCTGGGCACCAGGCGGAGAGATTGGCGCGCAGGGCGTAGATCGACTCTTAGACGGGGGCGGGATTCTCGGGAACGCCTTTGAACTCATTTGGCGGGAGATCGCCAGTCAGGGGCAGAGGCGGGGGGAGCTATCATACTTGCAGTGGGCAAGGGCAAGGGGAAGGGGAAGGGTTTGCCAGTGCGTCTCGGACTCCCCAGCCCCTAGGCGAGGCAAAAAAAGGAGGGAGGGGCGGGCATCTGCATACGTTTCGTTTCTTAGGCTTGGTGCATCTCGCCGGGAAAGCGCCGAGATGTCGAACAATCGGGCAGGAGAGCAGGGGCCGCGCGATGACAACCCGATCGAGGAGGAGGAGGAGAGGGTGAGAAGGAAGGCGAGGATTGAAGCGAGCAAACTGTATTTTGACGTTCCAGCCTCGAAGGTACGTACAGTTCCGCCGTCCCTCTGCTACGTATACCCGGGGCGGCAAGGTTGCACTTGCAAAGAAGATTGGACTGAATGCCTGCAAATGTGCAGAAAATCGAGATTTTTGAACTGCTCTTGTGCACGTCTGCTTAAAACACGTCCAGATTCATGAGCTTAATCCAATCCTCTTTGCTAGTGGGACCTCGCCCCTGGAGTAGTAGTAGTGTCAATCCTCCCTCTCTACTCCTATCGTCCTCCCTCAAAAAAAATACTTTGTCTTTTTCCTCCCTAATTACTTCTCCAATCCTCTTTGCTAGTGGGACCTCGCCCCTGTGTTATTGCGTTAGGTCGTCAACCTGCTGTTGGACATGGCCGACCTGCTTCTGCAGCAACATCACCTCCTCCTCCTCCTCCTCCTCCTCCTCCACCGGCTCCTCTCGTATCGTCTCGGGAATTGCGCAGTACAACTTTTTTTTTTTTTTTTACTCAAATACCATTCGTATTAAAAATTTTGTTCGTTTTTGGTTCTGTTCCTTCTCTTCTTAGGGCATGCTCAACCTAGCACTTCCCTGGATGTGTATGACCGCTTTTCTGGCCCTGCCTGTATATACCCTACCGCAATTACGTCCACAGAGAAGTGGAAAAAGTCCTGGTGCGAGTGCATGCCGTTAGAGTACTTCATCAAGATCAATCAATGTCTTTGTGTGTTTGGTGGATGACCTCAGCTGTTGTTGTTGTTGTTGTTGTTCGGTCGCGTTCGCTATGGCGATCGTGGCTGTCTGTTTATAAGATTATTGTTTGTTTGTATATCTATGCCTGCGCTCTTTCTGTCTCTGCCCGTATTTATTTGCCTGTCGATGTCTGTCTCTGTCTGTCTGCAAATGTCTTTGCCTGTCCCTGCCTGCCACTGTCTTTACCTGTCTGTCTGTTTACCTCTCTCTACTCTCCCCAATTCGCTCTTGGCCTCTCGCGCTCACAGCTTGTGATGTCTGACGTCCCCTCTGGTTGTTCTGGGGCCATTGATGCTTGTCGATCTAAGGTACACGAGCGTAGGGATTGACGAGGGCCATAACAGTGGAGCAAGCGCCTCGTTGCGCCTCTCACTCACCGAATTTGTAGAACGGCGAGTGTATCTTCAGTCAGGTACACGGTGGAAAAGAAGGTACACTTCACTTCTTTTGTCGTTTTCACATGTGGCCGAGCAGTGGGACGAGGACCTTACTTCTCGATTTCCTGAGATTTGATCCCTCGCTGGGGGGTTCTGTAAGGGGATCAATCTGGCACCAGTGTGCTCAAGTGTGAGGGGACCAAGCGGGGCTGGCGATATGATTTAGCGGCAAGCAAGCAAGCAAACACGAATCTGGCGGGCCGGGTGCGTGCCAACTTCGCACAGGGCGGGGGAAGGAGGATCATGAGGAAGCGGAGGAGGAGGAGGAAGAGGAGGAGGAGGAGGAGGAGGTGGTGTTGCCGAAGAAGCAGATCGGCCATGTCTAACAGCCAAAGACGACCTAACACAATAACCCAGTAAGAGAAGGGAAGAAGAAGAAGAAGACGAAGAGGAAGAAGAAGAAGCGAACGCAAGAAGAAGAAGCAGACGCAAGAAGCGGACCCGTTTTCATTCATGAGCCTGGCGACCTGTTCCAGTTCCTCACCCGGCATAGAATACTTGCCCGCCTTTGATTGGCTGACCGATTGGACTACTGTAGATCATCCATCTCTCGGATTTGCCTGAGGAACATCTGTTGATGATAATGATGATGATGATGATGATGATGATGACGAGTTTGTCCGCCCCTCTTCCACCCCTCCCCCCCCCCCCGGTCCCCGGAAACCTGCCCCCGAAATCTACCCCCCCTCTGCGGCAAAGGTTGTGCAAGCAACGATTTGGACCTATTGTGGAGGAAAACCTCAGAGATAGTGCCAGTAACATTCGCGGTCTTCTACTTTAACAGGCCTGCATCTGGCGGCCTTCAGCGTGCAGATTCAGAGTGTTCATGACGCGGCCTCCACCATGCAGATACAGACGCCCGGGCATGTTTTACTAGAATGCAACTGCCTTGGGCTATTTCGGGGTGTGTACATCCAGATTGTGCATCTGGCCCGATTCATGACCGAAATGCAGACCACAGACTACCTATGCATGTGGCCTCACGTGCGACCCACATGAAAACGCAGGCGATAGACTTCGCATCTGGCCTCTTTGGCGACCCACATGCAGACGACCGGGCCCGGTTTGAGGAGACCCAGCGACGAATCACTGTCCCCGGTTCTCGAGGCAGCTTAGGCCTTGCTCACGCCACCGGGATGAAAACGGAGACGATAAATTTTGCATCTGGCCTCCTTTGCGACCCACGTGCAGACGACCGGGCCCCGTTTGAGTAGACCCAGTGCCGAATCACTGGGCTTGTCGAAGTTGTCCCGAGTTCTCGAGCCGACTTAGGCCATATCCACTCACGCGATTGTACTTTTTCCAAACAATCTGGTCGTGTTTCCGGTCAGATACGTCCCAGAAAGTCCTAGCGGTAGTGTGAGTATGCCCTTATGGTAGGCCCTTCGTTGTATCATGCGTGTGAACGCCACACGTCTAGCTGTTGCGCTGATCGGTTGAGCGCAAGGGTCTGTTTCTGCTGTGCCCGGAAGTGGCCCCTCTGCCTCCCTTCAGCTGAGCGACAGAGGTCATGGGGCTCGCTCCACTACACGACACTCGACATGCACTTTGACGCTTTGTCCGGACCAGGTGAATTTGGACGAGTGCAACATTAGAGGAATGTATGCGGTCCAAAAATCATCCAAGTGCACGTAGAGTGCTGTGTAGTGGAGCGAGGCCACGTCATTCCCTCTCACCGATCGTAGATCATTTAGCATTTTTTTGTTGGATGTGTATGACTGCACTACCGACCAGGTCCAGTCCACAAGGTCCCTATTGGTAGTGTGAAACCTCGGCGGAGTGACAAAGATGAGGTCATTCCCTCTCACGGGTCGGGTCAGCTGATCGATCGACCAACAGAGATGGTGATCGCCCCAAGATGAGTTATTATAAATAACAAATAATGTAAATTATTATAAATAATGTTAATATCAAATGACTTGTCTGCTGCCTCTCAGATGCGGGCAAACTCAGGGCCGACAGGGGTCATGCTAATCTTCTCTGTATCTTTCCAATTTTAACGGATGTCCTGAAGGACATTATTACTTTTTTTTGAAAAAAATTATTATTAATATCACTATTTTGCAAGGTATTGTTGTCCTCTTCTCTCTCTCTGCCTACGGTTTACCGGGCAGTTCTGTTTGTGACGATTCTATTTGACGATATATATATATTTAAGTATAATTCATAGGAAAACAAAAAAAGATTCGCTAGAGATTGGTGTGGAGGAACAAGTAAAGCGGTGGAGGGTGGATATGACCCCACCACGTTTTCGGGACGATGTCCTAGACCTCAGTGACCATCTTCTAGAACCCTGAAAAAGACCAAGAATGCAATCTATGGCTCCCCCCAAAAAGAGAACAAAAAGAAAAGAAGGAAAAGAAAAAAGGGGAAGGTGTGGCCTCCAATGACTGCAGGGAGGGCCTATCGCAGCCTCCTGCAAAGGTTGCATTTTGGGTCTTTTGGGGGTTCTGGAATGGCCCCTTATGTCGAGGAGCTCCTGCCTGTCATATGGGCCATGAGGGCACATTACTACGTCGTCCATGGGGTCTTGACCAAGCAAAGCGTGGGGTCTCAAGCAAGCACAGGCCCTTCTCCGGATGCTTGTTGGTACTTCGTTGCTGCCCATCACGCAGGGCCGCAGATATCCTAAGGGCCATGGACCCCTCAAGGGCCATAAGGGGCGCGTAAGGACCCTGAAGGGTGCCCGTTGGCCCATAAGGGACCCTGAGTACCCAACACACAGGCCTTGCTGTGACACACAGGATCATCAGCTTTTCACGTGAAGGTGGGCCATAAGGGCCCTCGTAAGGGGGCCCCATTGACTGGGTCTCAATAAAGGGCAGTAGGTACCCAGCCATATTGGCCATAAGGGACTCCATAAGGGCCCTAAGGGCTTCTATTGGGACCATAAGGGTTCCCCAAAGGGGCCGTAGATACCTAGTCATCGGGCCTTGTTGTGACACACAGGATCGTCACCTGCTGACGTGAAGGTGGGCCATGAGGGCCCGAACGAGGGCCACAAGGGCCCCCATGAAGGACATAAGTGCCCCGGAGTGCCATAAGATACCCACCCATACGGCCTTGTTGTGACACACAGGATCTTCACCTCTCGAGGTGAAGGTGGGCCACAAGGCCCTGAATGAGGGCCATTAGGGGCGCCATGAGGGGTGTAAGGGCCCTTGAGAGGGCCATGAGATACTCTGTAACGGTCGAAAAGGCCTCCACACTGCCGTCATGAGGGGTTCTCACGAGGGGCCGTAGATGCCCAGCCATAGGGTGGGCGATAAGGGACCCCCATAAGGGAGATACCCAGCCATGCAGGCCTCACTAGGATGCAGGATCCTCACTTCTTGACATGACGGACTCACGGGTTTTCTATGGATCCCTGGTGATGGCCACAACTTTTTTGACTTAATCTGGCCGTGATTGTAGTCAGGTACATCTAGAAAACCTGTAGTGTGAGTATGCCCTAGGTTGAACCGACATAGCAGAGAATAGTTAAGAGACTGCAACATTCTTCGCCCTGCTGTTATTGATTGTCCTTCCTGCCATACCTCAGCCTCTTCCTGGTCCTTTCTCCCCCTGTCTCCCCCACGTGGCTCTTCTCCACCTCGAGGTATCTTTTCTAGCCAATGAATGTTTTTTGCATGCTGTTCACTTAAATGTGGTCTTATCGGTCAGTTCATCTCTCTCTCTCTCTCTCTCTCTCTCTCTCTCTCTCTCTCTCTCTCTCTCTCTCTCTCTCTCTCTCCCCCCCTCCCCCTCTCCTGTCTCTTTCTCTCGCTTAAGTTGTTTTATTGCAGAGTGTTTTGAGAATGTTCGTTTTGAGTACTTCCTATCAGGGCTGCATGTTGTGGAGAGTAAGGAGGATGTAAGTGTGTTTTCAAGACTAACACAGGCTGCATGTTGGTTTGGACATGTCTGGAACAGGAACCTGTCCTCTATTCGCCAGTCTACGACATCGTCTTTCTGGGACTTGAAAAATTGTGAGTAACTGTTTGATTTCTGCCAACGTCCTTTGTCCTTTGTTTCTTCTGTTCTCTGGCGCCTTGGGTGCAGTTGGTGGAGCACAATAATGTGCGGGGTTGCCAAGAGCTTATGCCAGATTTCCAAACGGGGACGGATAGATAATAATTTGCCAATCCGTCTTTTATGGAAGGGGTGAATATCATTGTCACTGGAAGGTGTGAATATGCTGATCAATAATGTGCTGGAATACGGACCTTGTCGTTTGTGGGTATACGACCATGCCAGGCGACTTTCCTTGGCCACGGATAGTGTACGTTTCACCGTTCTTTTCTTCAAAGCCACTGATGCTGAAAGGACATGAGGTGTTGTGGGTCGTATTGCAACTGTTGCAACTGGCATGCAGTACCCTTCCACCTCCCATTTTGTAGTCTCATCCGCAATGAAAAGCCCTTTGAATCATATCGAGTGAAGCTGGGAGGAAGGGGGAGGGCGAGAGATAGGCAGAGAAAGAGGGGTTTTTGTGTGTGTTTTCACAGAACCCAAGCTCTCTCTCTCTCTCGCTCCATGTGTGTGTGTGTGTGTGTGTGTGTGTGTGTGTGTGTGTGTGTGTGTGTGTGTGTGTGTGTGTGTGTTGTGATGTTCGCTATATGTAACTCCATAAAATAGGGTATGACTGTGCCAAGACCATGGCAACCGCGGACCCGGACCCGGACATGTCTGGACTGACGCCCAGACATTTGTCCGAACCGGTCCAGACGTTCGGCAATCCGGACAGGCACTGGACAACCGGACAGGACCGGACCCGGACCGTCTGCACAGGTGCCCCGGAAGCCGAAAATGTCCGGACCGACCAAAAAAAAAAACAAAAAAAAAAACAGCACATCATGGTGTGTAGACTTGGATCTCCAATGAAGCCCAACTCCGTGTAGTGCCTCTTCACAGACTTTGTACGATTCTTCGTCATCCTGGAGGCAAAGAAAGTGGGAAACCAAGTTGAACAACCATGACATTGTTAGAGTCGGTCATCCCCCTCTCACCCACCCCCCTTTCTCTACCTCCCCCTATCCGTACCTCAATCAATTAATCAGTCAATCAATCAATCATTCGATCAATCAATCAATCAATCAATCAATCATTCAATCATTCAATCAATCAATCAATCAATCAATCAATCAATCAATCAATCGATTTTGTTGGTTGATTGGTCGAATGATTGATCGATTAATTCATTGATTGATTGACTGCAGCATTTCGCCACCCGCCACGGGGACCAAGATAACAAAGCCGATAGTTCCTGTCCCCAAAGAATGCAAGGTTAAAAACGGGCAGCATTTCACCACCCCTGTGGGCTTGGGAAGTTCCACGAGATCAGATGACAAAGATGACAGTGCCAGCAGTTCCGTTCCCCACAGCAGGCGAGAAAAAAAGGGGCATTGACGGCGCCATTGATGGTGGCATTGACAAATCATTCCCTCTGAAAAAAAAGGGGTAGCATTTTGCCACCCCACATGGGGTCCATTAATCCCACCTCAATGAACAGCAGCATTGACGATTCAGTTCCCTCGGCCAATCATTCAATCAACCAATCAATCAATCGGTCAATCAATCAACCAGTCAATCAATCAATCAATCAATCAATCAATCAATCAATCAACCAACCAATCAACCAGTCAATCAATCAATCAATCAAGCAATCAATCAATCAGTCAATCAACCAATCAATCAATCAGTCAATCATTCAGCAACATCACGCTGCAAAAATGGCAAAAAGTTTTGACAAACTGAAATGCGACTGCAGGACATCCGAAAAAGAAAAAACAATTATACACGTCTGCAATCATTCATGCATTGAATCAATAAAGGTACGCATCTCATTCGCCTCCCCTCCTCCTCCGTCTCCTCCTCCACCTCCTCGATATTATTCGTCCTCCTCCTCGTTGCCCCTCGTCCTCCTCTTTGATATGGCTTGTCCTCTTATATCGCTCGTCCTCCTCGTTGCCCCTCGTCGCCCCGAATCCTCTTCAACCTCGCTCGTCCATCCCGTTGTCCCATCCTCCTCTTCTATCACTTGTCCTCCTCGTTGCCCCTTGTTGCACCAACTCCACTTTGATACTGCTTGTCCTCCCCGTTGTCCCGTCCTCCTCTTCTATCGCTTGTCCTCCTCGTTGCCCCTCGTTGCACCAACTCCTCTTCCATACTGCTTGTCCTCCCCATTGTCCCAACTCCTGTTCACCACTGCTTGTCCTCCTCCCCACCGCCCCTCGTTCTCCTCTTCCTCCTCCGCCTCCTTATGGGTCTCCCGCCCAACGTGCCAAGCGTCTTCGTTGCCCCGAGTCCTCCAAGAAAACAAAACGGGAGCGTTCCGACAAAAAAACAGGGAATAAAAAAAGGTCGCCGCTGTCGAATTGATGTCTATCCTTCCCCCCCTCCTCTTCCTCCACGTTTTCCCTCGACGTCGTCCGCCTCCCGCCATGTTCACTTAGACGTTCGACTAGAGAGAGAGAGAGAGAGAGAGAGAGAGAGAGAGAGAGAGAGAGAGAGAGAGAGAGAGAGAGAGAGAGAGAGAGAGAGAGAGAGAGAGANACACACACACACTTACACACACACACACACACACACACACACACAGAGAGAGAGAGAGAGAGAGAGAGAGAGAGAGAGAGAGAGAGAGAGAGAGACTGACCTGGCAGCGGGCGACGACCTCCTCCGCAGCAAGAAGCCTTGGCGGGCAGGAACTCCTTGGCTGGCGATGATCTCCTCGGCAAGGATAGACGTTGATAGTGACGGCGGGCGACGAAGATGACGACCGAAGATCGGCGGCAGCGCGGCGGCAACACAGCTCACTAGAAATGGCTTCGGCGGGAGGGATAGCTGATTCAAAAACTCGAATCCGTGTTTTTCCCTTCCCCTGTCCGAGCTCGGCAGAGGTGGGAATCCAACACAGTCTGGCGCTGTCCGGTAGGCCTTTCAGTGGCCAAAAAATCCCGAAAGAATTTTTGGGGGGCAGCCTAGGACCCCCAAAACGTCCTAGGAGCCCCAAATTTGTTTTTCGAATTTTCGAGAAACGGGTCCATTCCGGACCTACCGGACTGAACCCCAGACCCGGACCCAGACAGCCGGTCTGTCTGGATCCCGGTCCAGACGTCCGGCCGGTTGCCCTGGCCAAGACTATTGTCGGATTTTCACGGACTCATCAGGGGTGTGTTGCAACTCCACGAAAAAGCATGACTGTGCCAGACTGTTTCGTTGGACTTCCACCGACTCTCCTGAATGTGTGTCCCATGGTAATTCAAATCGAAATAGAATCTGAATTTCTGAATTTTGGCTTTGACCCTTTGCACAATTGTTGCTCAATCGGTTTTTCAGACTTTTCTTTTTTTTTGTTAGTTGGTGGAGTGTGCCATTTACATGGAGAGAGCCAGCAGTTCGTGTCCGTTATTATCCAGATGGGAAAACAACTTAGTTGGTTAGAGTGCTGGGTCTGTCACGCCAGAAGTTGGGGGTTCAAATCCCATTTGACTTTTACAGGGGGTAACCTGTAACCTTATTGTATCCATCTGATCATCCTGATGCCACCAGAATCGCAATTTCAAACCCATGATCTGTTTGTCAACAGGTATGTGTGTGTAGTACTGTGTACCATTCGGCCACATGGGCTGGGTGTTGCTCAGTTCAGTTATTTCACCCCAGTTATAATTACCTTGTTTATGCAAAGTCCAGCGGACCACAGGAAAAAAGTGGAGCATCATGTTTGCATTACTCAGAGGTTTCCACATATAGCCAGATTTTGTCTTTTTGTTGATGCTGTTCAAAGAAGATACCCCTTGTCAACGGAATCATGGTTTTGAGTTGATTGAATGAATGCATCTTTTGACAAGGGGCCAGTGCTTGTCACTCCTGAGGAGAGAGGTTTCATTCCTCCCTCCTCCTCCCCCCCCCCCCTCCCCCCTTTTCCTCCCCAGGTCACTGGCATCAGCCTGCCCTGTGTAATGAATGGTGCACGTAAATTATGCAAAAAGATGCATTGTCGGTTAGACCACGAGTACAGATTAGCCCATTTTTGTCGTAGCAGAAATTTTCCGCGCTGTACTTGTCTAATGGGCTGCCGATGGGGGCGGTACATGGAAAGCGTGGCAAGTCGAAAAGTTTCAGTCAGTCGAATAAGCTGTGCATTGAATAACTGAAAATGAATCTGTCCAGTTCTTTGGAACATCCGTTAAAATTGGAATGATACAGAGAAGATTACGATGGGTCCTGTGCAAGGATGACATGCATAAATTGAGAAATGGTCAAAATTTTGCTAAAAAAAAAAGAAAAAAGGAATCTATCCAGGGTTACTGGACTTTCCCAACGCATCTGGCTGAAGGGAATACACATGTAAATGTTGCCATATAGATCGCGAGTTCGAATCCTGATGGATCAGATGCATGTCCTCGCCTCTTGCCGGTGAACGCCTTGACAGGCGCTGTTGTCTGTGCTAAATTATGTTGATGTCAATGGAATTTCCAAACTTCTGATGCAAGAGGGGTGTTCTTGCTCCATAGCTGGAGTTGGAATTTGAATTTTCTGAATGTTGTAATGGGAGTGCACTCGCATCTCGACCAGCCTGGTAATTGATTGAAGGGCCAGTCTTGACATTGAGTTCCCTGCATTCTAATCCGACTGGTAAAGGGTGAAGGCCCAGCCTTGACATGGAGTCTCTCTCTTCTCTGTGTTTTGCAGTTGTCTGTGCCCCACTTACACGCGTACGTTGTGGCATTTCTGGCTATTTGCTTGAAACTGTGGCTGTAATTTACTAATTTTGATACAACTGTATTTCGTCATTCTTGTTGGTTGGGTTTTGATTGGCGATGCAAATTTGCAGGCATCCATTTGATTCCACCAAATATGGACGGGTCTGTCGTTTTCTTGTGGAGGGAAAATATCTGCACAAAGACCAAGTTGTGGAGGCAAAAGAAGCGCAGAGAGAAGACCTGCTTGTGGTCTGTCCATATCAGACGCTTGACTCAATTATATCCAATTACTAAAAGAAAGAAAAAGAAAAAAAAAAAACAAGCCCGTATGAGGTGGTGCTACCATTTTGTTCTACGAGCCGGTAGTCTAGTTCCTGTCTTATCTGACAATCTATTTTCTGCAGGAGTTGCGTCACTCATTATGCGCAGGAGTTCAGTCGGCCCTAAATGCACAGGCCTCTTGTCTCCAAACAGGTCTGCCTGTGTGCTCGCTGTCCTGGCCATCTCTTATAGACCGAACATTTCCAAGACCATCTGGTGCTCCCTTGTTGAGCCAAAAATATGTCCTGCTTAGGGCATGTCTGAACTATCCACGCCTCCCCCTTACCCTCTTTCAAGGGTCCTTTGGTGCGTCTGGGCCTCCTCCTCCTCGGTTTTCTTAACCCAAACCTTATCTTAACGTAATGTCTCCACTGCTGAAAAAAAAAAAAAAAAAAAAGAAGAAGTCCCCTCTGCTGTGCGCAATACTTCTCTGTAGGTAGCCTTGCGTGGAGAAAGCGAGTCCACGGGCATGGACTGGTTGCTCTCTCCCTCACCCGTGGTGTTACACTGACGGTTTTCTACCTTTTTGTTCGCCACCCCGCTGGACATTCCTTTCTTAAGTTCAGCTGTTGGCAGATCGACCGAGAAACCTTTTTCTGTGGTTTGCCTTTAAGTGTATATATGTTGGATTCCTGCTTCTGTAAACTTTGTCGAGAATATGTTCACAAGGGCTCAGGACTTCGTGTTTGTGAAAATGGCTCCCTGGTTGAAGATCAAACTACTGCTCATCACAATTCGCTGCGTCAAAGGCTAAATGACCTCTCAGCACAAACCATTACTCACCTTCTTTCTCGCTTTGTGGACTCCAAACTGCTGGGCTAGTTCACCCCCCTTACCCTCTCTGGACCACGCCTTCCCTCTCCCAACCAATCCTCCTTGAACTCGCGTGTGATGTAGCATTGTCTTTCTCTGTACTGCGGATGGAATGTGGATTTGCAGCGTCAGCATGTGAGGTAGCATTGTCTTTCTCTGTACTGCAGATGGACTTTGGATTTGCAAGGTCAGTTTCCGGGTGCATCTTTTTTTTTTGTCTTCATTGCATCATTTGTGTGGATGCAGGCATGCATGCCCTTACTCTGCCAATCATTTCGTCAAGCATATTATCGAGTCTGTCAATCCGTCTAGCCCGTTCTACCAATTTCCTTATCCTCGTCAAAATTCAAAGAGATCCTTCTCGTGTGATGCAATATTTGTGGGCCGTTGAAAGCCATTACTATCGCTTGGGGTATTTGTGGGAAATGGGAAGTGGTTGCTGACAGCGAGAGTGCTTCTCTGTGCACGTTTTGCAGACCTTGGAATTATCTGAGACACCGCCCCTTTTTACCTCGCTCTCTATCTCCCTCCCTCCCTCCCTCCCTCTGTTCCTCGCTCCCCTGTCTCTTTCTCCCCCCCTCCTCCCTGCCTCCTGGTGTCTCCTCTCCCTCCTCCTCCGTCTCACCCTGGTTGCATACTTGCTACATCCATTCATTGTTCTATGTGTCCCTTCCTCCCTTTGAGAAGTCTCTGTTCTCAGTTTTGATTTGACGGTTTTAACCTAACTGCTGAGGATGAGTGGTTTCGTGGCGATCATCGATCGGTTTCTGGTGCCTAATCAGGCATGCTCGTTGAATCAGGTTTACTAGTAACCTGTTACATTGTTGCTATTGTCTTCCCTCGAACAAAACGCATCCGGAAAATGAACGTACACAAGATATGTTTCCGGCCGGATACAGTCGAAATGAGGGTGCGTTGTTTTTCGTGGGAAGACGGTAGTAACTTGTTTCAGGTCACTTTGCTGGTTCGGTGCTGAATGCTTAGTGACTCATACGTCACCTGCTTAATGTCTCAACTGAGGTCTCCTTTCCAGAAAACCAACTGGCTTCTGTCTGTGCTTTCGCGGAAAGCCTCCATTGCAGCAAGCAGTCGGTTCCCGTATTGGTCTTGCTGATGCCAGACTAAAACTCTGGCTTTTGTTCTGTGTTTTGTGTACTTGTTCCACTTCTCTCTTCCCCCATTTTTAGGTTCACACAGAGAAGTATTTGAAGAGTCTGGAATGGAGCGCTAAAGTGGCGGCAATCACTGAGGTAGAGACTTTTGAGTGACGCTTTGAGTCAGGTTTTTCTCATTGGTGTCATTGGATATACCGGCTTGCTCTTGAGCCGTGGTTGAGAAAACCAGGGTTGGCAAATGGTGGCCATCCTGCCTGCATGGTGCTGATCTCAATGGTTCAGGACTGAGCCCCCCTTGATTTTGATCTTGCTTATGGTGATTTCGGTCTCTGATATGGTTGCTACAGAGCATTGCCTGCTCTTGTCCATGGTAGGGCAGCGAATCAGTGCAATCAGCTTTCACAGACTGGCTGGGTCCAGATGGTGGGCCAACAGTTGCTAGAGTGACCCACAGAAATTGGGTGCCTCACAATGCAGAAAGGACTCGTGCTGCGTGGAGCAAAATAATTTCAAGTCACACATCACAAGGGGAAAAGAAAAAGCATGCTGCAGCACACCTCCCCTTCTTCATCGACCTCATCATCAGATCATTCATTTGTCAGATCAGCTGTCACAAGGGCCCATCGGCAGAGACATCCAGCGTCGGACGATCGTTACATATGCCTCTTCGGCGGAGATGTTCCCTGTCTCTGCCGCCTCCTCCTCATCCTCCACCTCGCACACCTCCCCTTCTTCATCGACCTCATCATCAGCTCATTCATGGTCAGATCAGCTGTCACAAGGCCCCATCGGCAGAGACATCCAGTGTCGGACGATCGTTAGAGATGCCTCTTCGGCGGAGATGTTCCCTGTCGGACGATCGTTAGAGATGCCTCTTCGGCGGAGATGTTCCCTGTCTCTGCCGCCGCCTCCAAGACAAGCAGCCTCGTCTGTCCTGGAACAGCATGAATACTGCATCCCCTGCAGGGGTTAGAGATCTGCTCCGACGACATGCTCGCAACAGTACAGAACAACATGGTCCCTCTCGGTATACACTAGCCAGGAGTAGTACATATCGAGTCCTATGCCCACAATGTGGCGATGATTTCTTCAGTGCGGCAGGCCTGCATGTGCACCAGACACGAGGTGCGGCTACCTGCACAGCATTTGCACGACTGTCAGCCACTTTGAGCACAAGTGCGACTGATCAACCTCCGCTTCTTGCATCTGACCCATCTATTCCTCGTCCACCTGACCCTGCATGCTTCCCTGCCTCAAATGATAATGATCCACCCTCTGATCACTTGATGGAGCCTCCGATTCTAAAAGATGTCTCTCCGGGGCGCATAATACAGCCGGAGGAACCTGACACAAGTGGTCAAGACTGCAATGAATCTCTGCCCGCCGTGCAATCTGGAGAATTGGATGAACCTCCCCATGCTGCACAAACTGCAGAATCGGATGATGTCATAGTGCTACAGCGAGAGCGCTGTGCGTACTATGCCATTAATGTGTGTCCCCTTGCTTACAATTGCAATCCTTATACTGTTTCTGATTTTGCAGACGTTGTGCGCTGGATAGAAGAAGAGCACCATGCCGTCTGCCCGGAGGATGACTATACTGCACCTGGTGTGAACATAGAAGTCCTGTCTATGGCATTTATGGGTAGGCAATTACAACTCCAGCCTGCTCCGCAAAATCACATGCCAGGCATGGATCCGAAATATTCGGGCATACATCTTACATCATGCAGGTCATTTCAGTGCTCTTACCTTTGCGGATAACTCATGGACCCTATGAGACAATGGCGGTAGGGTGCACGCAGCGGGAAATATCAATTCTTTCTATCACCAAGCGGTAGAACATCACTCGGTCTGGCTTGTCCATCAGGAACAGTACGGCCATGAGCACTCACAAGCACTTGCACCTCCGGAGAGCAATCCGGCTGAACCCCTCCCTGTGTGGATTGGACAGATTCTACCACGAACAGTGAAGGGACCTCTCCAGGGGATGGAGATTGTGCCCTCCTCCCATTGTGTCATCGCACAGGTACAGTCCGGTTAGCATGTGCAAGGCATAGCCTCTGCTCCAACACTATGAAGGCATGGTCACTGCCAGCCTCTGCCACGAAAACTGCAACCCTTTGTCTTGTACTCGGCCCCTCCACCCCTTGATTACTTGCCCCGCATGCCGCTGGGGCCTTGATCTGTCATGCTTGCATAATTGTGCGCATCAGCTCCTTGCTGATGACATGCCAGCAACATGCCATGTGTTGTCAATGTTTTTAGGAAGCTGTCATAGAAAGTATGTGTCTCGACTGCGTGGACTATCCCCGGTGCCATCGTCCACCACATCGTCTCCGAGCATGTCCCACATGTGGTGTTGGTCATACACCTACTGCAACCGCAGTCGGAATTGCTTCTTCCTTTCCTGACGAACGACGGGTACAGCAGCCTGAGGAGGAAAATAGATTACCATATGAACCATCTACAGAGTGCTGTACTAATAGGTTCTCCACCAGGGTGAGCTGTACTGCAGCAGCTGAATGCCCTTGCTTTGGATCAATCTCCCCGGTCGTCGTCTACCCATAGAGAAGGAATAAATACTGAGGAACCCAAGAAACTTGCTCCATGCCGCTTTGTGATGACCCACTGGAGATTCAGCTAGCATGGGGTTTGCGTGCCTTATCCGTGAGGATTATAAAGGGATACCCCGGCGAGCTTTTGTCTTCATTCGTATGACGACAGTCTATACTGCACTCATGTACATCACCCTGACATGTCATGTCCAATTTGTAGACGGGCTGGAACGGCAATGCCTCTACAATTGTGGTTGGCGTGCCTCTGTGTTCCTAGCATGTAGCAGCCACGTCGCCTGTGACACCTGTCTACACCGTGCCATTCGATGCAGTAACTGTGACCGTGAGAAATGGATGCGGTGGTTCCACAGGCCACACCCGAACTGGTCCTGCCCGGTCTGTAGAGGTGGCCACTTACCATAGGCAACAACTGCTCCTCAAATCTTATGCAACCCACACACTGACTGGCCTCATGTGCCATTCCAGAGTGGTCTGCCCCAGTGGTCAATATTTAGAACCCTGTCAGAACTCCAACCCGCATTTCTTTCCTCCCTCCTCTTGTGTATTACTAGTAATACATACGAATGAGCATCATTGCAAGAAGAGACAAAATACAAGTTGAAGATCTGAGAAGAAATGAACAGGAGTGTACCTCCGCCTTTGCTCTGCCTCCTTTCACAGTGTGCAAGTGGGCTGTTATGGCACACAGGGATGTGGGCAGCTCGCGCTTAACCACAATCAACGTGGCGAGCCTTGTGCATGAGAGGCACGGTAAAGGGGGAGCTGCAAGAACAAATGAAAGGGCCGCACCACCCGCAAAGTTAAGACAAGGGATTTAAACGCTTCTATTATGTTCCATGTTGCTTTCTATAGAGGTGAAACTGTTTCATTGTTGGATTGTCAAAACTCAAGGGCTTTTGTTGTCTGTAGTAGCATTGAATATGCTTTGATTTTGATCTGTTCATCTGGGTGGAATAGGGGCTGTTGTGGTGAAAA